CACGGGGGTTTGCACGGGGCGCACGGGCGGCCCGGCGCACGCACCCCTGAGCACAGAGCTGATGGCAGCAACACTTGCATGGAAACATACAATGGGCCTGAGACAGACATTCCTGGGCAACCAGGCAGGCGTGCACCCCTGCGCAGCGCCGGCCCGGCCCAGCGGGCACCCCCCAGCTCCGCTTGGCTCATGCTCTCCCATGCCTTGGGCCAGGTGAAGACACCCCAATCCACACCACAAAGCCCAGCCGCGCTTCCTCAAGCTTGCTCTCGCATGGGGAGGGAGGGAGGAGGATCGAACCTGCTTCATGGGAATGGCCCGCCCGCTGCCGATACTGTCCGCTTTACACTCCGGCACCTTCTTCTCCCGCTCCGGGTCTGCGCCCTTTCGAGACTGGAAGAGAAGAGACACAGGTGTGTTAGCCACAGGGACACAGGAGAAGGAAGTGCAGAGCCCCCACCACCCCCAGCAAGCCGGCAGACCAGACCAGATCGCTCTCCCCCAGGCTAGGTCTCCCAGTGAATGGAGAAGCCAGCATCTCACCCTTCCCCGCTAGGGACCCTCCTGCCCTAGCCACCCCGGACCTGTCTGCTGGCCAGCTTTCCCCTGCCCCCCAACAGCTTCCAGCAGGGCTATCCCCCTAGCAGCACAGGGCTACCCTCTGGTCCCCCCTCCCGCGGGGGCACACAGGACATGGCGACAGACAGAAATGGCATGGGATGCAGGTGGAGCATGGATGGAAGCAGGAGAGGCTAAGGCAGTGAAAGGAACTCACACCTCTACTAATCCAACAGATTTATTCTGTTAACACACTTGCACCATACAAAGTAGCACAGGTCACTGGGCAGAGATACCAGCCCCTTACAAAAGAGCATGGACAATAAATATCTATCATACGTCTAGAGAGTTGAGAGCAAAACCTGCCAGCCCCCGAAGGCGGCTGTGGTGAGAGCAAACTCCAATAAATACAATATGAAATATACAGTCTGTTGAGCAGAACTCATTCAAAGTGCTTAAGACAGAGGAAAATATCAAGTCATACACGGCATGGAGCACAATCAATACATTCAGAATCACAACAATGGCAGAAGGGCAGCGGCAGCGTCTCTCTGGAGCGTCCTACACACCCCCTCAGTCCGGGAGCGCCCCGTGTGCTTTGGATTAGAAAGGGACGTTAGCCCCACACGCCTGGGACACCAATTCACTCGCTCTTGGGCCCAGAATAAAACAAAGAGATTGAAAGAGAGGAAAACTAAAGAGACACAGATGGCTGCTCTGCTGCGAGGAGGAAGAGGAGGAGGAGCAGGAGTCCATGCAGGCTGCAGGAGATGCAGTAGGGAGGAAGGAGCTGAGTGCTAGCGGCAGGCGCTAACAGCAGCTCCCGCAGGCAGCAGCAAAGCGTCTTTTGGCCCATCCAGCTCCACTCGCTGCTGTCGCCCCGGTCCCGGCGGGTCTGCAGGTCTTCCCATCCCATGAGGGTCGTCCGCCTGGCATCCCCGAACATGGAAAGTGCCAAGACAGCATCCAGCAGGCCCAGAAATGTCCCAGCTTAAAGTGCAGGCGCAGGCCGTCTCAGCGCTTCCTAGACTGTACATTGGGGGGATTTAAAAGGCTCCTGCGTGTCTCCGAGAGGGGGACCCATGCTGGCTGGAGGGCGGGCGAGCCTCTAATCTTAGATCAATCCCAGTGCCCATCCCTTATCCGGCCCTGGAGAGGCAATGAAAAGTGAGAGAATTTGTACAGAGGTGCCGTGTGTAACCACCTGGATCTTCTAATTTGGAAGGAGTTGGAAAGGCCTTTTTGTTGATGAAAAGTTGGAAACAGTGGCACATATCTGCAAATATCGAAAGAATAAAGAGTTTGGCAAGTTATACTCAGAACACGGACACGAGTCTGTCAGTGACGGGGCGTCAGAGGAGACGGGCAGACAGACAGGCCGCTGAGCGTGGAGCGGAGGCAGCAGCAGTCTGAGCTGGGGTGGGCTCCCGGCTAGCTGGGACCGCGGCGGCGCCGCGGACAGGAGTCTGTCTCCACCTGGCGGTCTCCGACACGCAGACCCCGCTGCCGGCGCCGCAGGCGTGCGGGGGGGCGGGCAGGGGGCCGG